ACAGGTGAGAAAACGTGTTAGATCTAACATGCTAACATAAACTTTATTTTTGCTGAATTCCGTATGAAATTTCATGAGTTTTGTATGTTTTAGACCATGTTAGAAAACAGGTGAGAAAACGTGTTAGATCTAACATGCTAACATAAACATTATTTTTTCTATCTTAAGGAAATTCACGAAAATTCATGAGTTTTGTGTGTTTTAGACCATGTTAGAAAACGTGTTAGAAAAGAGGTTAGATCTAACATGCTAACATAAACTTTATTTTTGCTGAATTCCGTATGAAAATTCATGAGTTTTGTATGTTTTAGACCATGTTAGAAAACGTGTTAGAAAACGTGTTAGATCTAACATGCTAACATAAACATTATTTTTGCTGAATTCAGCACAAAATTCTGAGTAAAATGGCATATGGCATGTGTCAAACCGTTGAGTTTTCACAAAATTCCAAAAATAACGTTTACCATGTAAAACGCTTATGTTAGAAAAAATGTTATTTTCTAATATTCTAACATAAACATTATTTTTGAGGAAAAAAATGAAGGTTCTATACGGTTTCTAACCGTTAACAAGCTTGCCTTTTACATTCTGCCTGAGGAAGTCTTTAACAAGCTCGTTAATTTCAATTAGGTAAATTGCCTCGTCGGTAGGTTCGACTTCGACCATTGCTACTGACAGTAGCAGTACTTTTACTGACAGTAGCAGTACTTTTACTGACAGTAGCAGTACTTTTACTGACAGTAGCAGTACTTTATCGTCGAAAACCCTCTCAAATTTTCCTTTTTACTGACATTAGCAGTACTTTTACTGACAGTAGCAGTACTTTTACTGACAGTAGAAGTACTTTTTCTGACAGTAGCAGTACTTTTACTGACAGTAGCAGTACTTTTACTGACAGTAGCAGTACTTTTACTGACAGTAGCAGAGATTTTTATCGTCCAACCTTACAAATGTAAACTTATATCGTTCTATTTTCTTCACTAGGGTCTAACACCAAAGTAACCTTACAAATGTAAACTTATATCGTTCTATTTTCTTCACTAGGGTCTAACACCAAAGTAACCTATGTACATGAAATTTCACTGCATAAAAGGAAAAAACCTGCGCGAATCGGGATTTGAACCGAGGTCTTCGACGCCTTTAACGAGGTAGCCCATACCACTGAGCTATGAGCCGCTTGCATATTTTTAAGTAAAATATAGTATATTTGTCATACCGTGAAGGATGACCAAACTTAAAAAAAAATAAAGTTAGTTTTTTATAAAATATTTTTTTATCCGGAATATAAAGACAGATATGTCAACAACAGAGAACACAACAACAGTTATAGTCCATGAAGCTATAAATGAAGAATATGAGTGGATACAATATAACAAACAATTGCGTCTAATTCGTTCGGTCAAAGACGATATGTACCAAATGCAAAGTATTTTGACAGCATGTTTTGCTCCAGATACCAAACATACAGACGATTGGTTCAAAAACCAAAGCACACAAGAACTTTTGAGTGAAATTTCTCTAGACCGACTTTTATCGGTCTAGCCTAAAACACATGAAAATCGTGAAGAACAGCGACCCAGACTTTTATCGGTCTAGCCTAAAACACATGAAAATCGTGAAGAACAGCGAGTAGGGAAGAAACCCTGGTCGCCTAAAACTCTATGAAAATCGTGAAAAATTGCCAAACGGTTTGAAAGGATATTATGTACATAGACTTCTTGTAAATGCTGTTGCAATGTGGGCTTCACCTAAAATATATTTTTATTGAATTCAGCACAAAAATCATGAATTTCCTTAAGATAGAAAAAATAAAGTTATTTTTATTTTTATTTATTTTTTTATTTTGTATGTAAAGACAGATATGTCAACAACAGAGAACACAACAACAGTTATAGTCCATGAAGCTATAAATGAAGAATATGAGTGGGTTCAGTTTAACAAACAACTCCGTCTCATTCGTTCGGTCAAAGACGATATGTACCAAATGCAAAGTATTTTGAATGCTCTTCGTTCTACAAAGCAAGCATATCATTGGTTTGAAAACCAACAGACAAAAGAACTTTTAGAAGAATTTCCTCATATGATTGCTTCCCTCGGAAAACCGAGGGAAGAGATTCCGTATGAAAATCGTAAAAATTTGCCAATAAATTTAAGAGGATATTATGTACATAGACTTCTTGTAAATGCTGTTGCAATGTGGGCTTCGCCTCGTTATGCTTGGTATATTTACAGACTTCTTGACGAAATTCATAGACAAGAACGTGAAGAGATGGAAAAGAAACTTCATGCAAAAGATGAAGTCATTGAAGCAAAAGACAAAAGCATTCAGAAAAGAATACCACGTTCGGTACCAAAAGGAAAGGAAAAGAACTATAAGTATATGATTTATACTGAAGAGATGGAAAATGAAGAAGACAGAGATATGGTTATGTTGCATTTAGTCAGAAGAAACAACAAAAGCTTTTACGACCTTGCTAAGATTTACAAATCTGACAGAAATTGGTTCTATCGCGAAAACTTACCGATTTCAATGACACCGAATGAAGATGTGAAACAAATAGTTCAAGATACGTTACCTCAAACACACTATGATATGAAAGGTTGTACAATACTTACCTTCAAAGAAGACTTACCGCTACTGAAAGAAAAAATAACAGAGTATTTTGACAACTTCAAACAAGTAGAGTAAATTGCACTCTTTATTTTTACGCTTGACTTTTTACAATTTGAACTTTGTTTGCGTAGATATGAATTCTGAAAGAAGTATGAGGGTCTTGTATGACTTTGTACTTCTCCCAGAGTTCATATCTGTCAAACTTACCTGCCATGGACTCTTTCATAAGTTCCATGAAATCGTCTTCGGACAATCCGGGGAAAAGTATAATGTCAGTAAGTATTCTCTTTACATCCTTACTTAAACTCTTTGCTGTCTGTACACATATTACGACTGAGATGTTAAAGTGTCTGAGCTTCTTAAGAATTCGACACATATCTTGTTCTCTATTCTTAAGCAAAGGATGAGAGGCGAAATCATCTAAGATAAGAAGACATCTATGAGGGTAAGTCTTCCAATCGTAAGATTGCAATTTCTTCGAAATGTATTCTATCTCTTTCTGTTTGTTTCTGAAGTGTTTCTTCTCTAATATTCTCTGCATTTCCTCATTTGGGTCTTTAAACTTAGAATTTATATACTCATTTATAGCATTATACTTCAAAACTCTTCTTTGGTACTTCTTTATCCAATCTAACAACTCAGTATCCTTTATACATACTAACTTAGACTTCTTTATAATATCTTTGAACGAATTGACGGTTTGGTCAAATTGACCAGAAGTCGAACAAATGACTACTAACTCATAGAATGGGTTCTTCTCATCTAGTTCTTGTTGTTGTGCAGCCATTTTAAGATAAGTGAAAGTCTTACCCGACCCAGGTGGTGCAATTAGACCTGTTATACCATTCTGAGCAAATAAGAACTTGTCATGTATAGGTTTTATTTGAGCATTTTCTAACTTCCTCTTGTTCTTGTTTAAAACATTCTCAAATTTCTTGTCAATGTCAGCAAACTTTTTTTCTAACATATTTTTAGAAAAATTAAAATTTTTATCTTTTAGAAAATGTCGAGCGATTTCGCTATCTATATTCGAGACAAACTTTTTGACAGCAAAACATCTGTCGACCATAAAATCTTACATAGTGTAAACAAGAAAGGGGAATTTGTTCTAAAGTTCTGTTTCTGGGAATATGACAAGAACCATAAAACATTAAGCAGAGAAGTCTTAAAATTTGTCAATGACAGACTTGTTGACAGAGATGACGCCTCTTGGAGAGATGAAGTCCAACAAAAGTTCTTAGAATGCAAAGAAGACACATGCGCTGTTCTTGAAGATGAAATAAAAAACAGAATAGATGAGCTATTAAAGGACAAAGAACTTTTACATAAATATGGTTGCGCCAAATTTGACATAACTCCACCAGAAAAGAAGAAGAGAGAAAAGAAAGAAAAGAAAGTAGAAGAAGAGAAGAAAGAACCTGAACCAGTTCCAGAGAAAAAGAAATTTGACATGTAAAAATAAAATTTTATTTTTTAGAACATTTCTGGGTCAATGTCAATGTTCTCTTCCTCTTTAGGGGCAAACACTGGCTTAGACTCTAAAATCTTTTTACCCAATTTACCTTGAACTTCAACTATCTTAGACTCATAATATTCATAGTCGTCTGCTTTCTTTGGTTCATAAGGTATAACAAGTTTGTATGCTTTGCCTTCTTTAAGGTTTGAGAACCTTCTGTCAAAACTTTCTTTGACTGCTAACAAACCTTCTATGTCTAAGTCTTCAAATTTCGCACCATTTTTAGTCACAATAGCAAACTTAACTGGTTCGATGTTCCAAACTTTGCTGAATGAAGACTTTTCAAAATGGTAGAAGTAAACATTCAAATATGTGAATGGGTCTAGTTCTTCTTTAAGTCTGACATGTACTTGTTTTACTGAAATATATTTCGTCATCTTTTCTATCGGATAAAAAAAATTTTTTTTAAAATTTACTCAGAAAAAATTTTCTTTGTATATACACCATTCTGAACATCTAAAAGACTTTTGACATTTGCCAAGAATGTACGTTTAGAAGCTGCCATATAACCATATTCTTGACAATATTGTTTATACGAATCGTACAATGACCTTTCATCTAATGACACAAGTCAGTTTCATCTATGAACAGTTCATATACACTCTTGTTTGCTTCTAACAATGTTTGTCTCTCTTCTGTATGTGGAATTTGTCTTGGATTGAACTTAGAAATATCTAATGTCATGAAATATGAGAACAAGTGGTTGTAAAAGTCAGATGTCAAAGTTTCTGCTAAGTCGTCAAAATATTCTGTATCTTGCATATGAGAATCTGATGTTCTGACAACTACATATCTTCTGTCAGAACTTTCTAACTTCATCGGAACAACATTGTTTGAAACCATAATGAAGTTTGCAACATTTTCACAAACTCTTTGGTCTTTATATTTTCTTTCAACAACTCCAACTTTGTCTGTTATAAGACTCTTCAAAGCATCTGAGTTCAAAACTTTTGTTGTATCTATACTTTGAAGTTCATTGCAAACTATAAGTTTCATATTCTCTATTGAGGAGTTAAATTTACCGCAGATGTTTTCTAAGTTTGTCATATTCGGGTTCGAATAGCCCTCTAACAGTTTGCACAAAATATCTGTAAAGAATGTGTTCTTACCAGTTCCTTGTTTTCCAATTATAATGAGAGCAGTTTCATTTTTAGCACTTGGATGTTGTAAGATGTTTGCAAACCAACATAAGATATACTCATAGACTCTTTCGTTTCCATTGCATATAATTTCTTTGACATGGTCTAACCAAGCTTCTATAATATTTTCTTTCCATTCTACTTGTTCGTATTTATATCCAGTGAAGATAGAATAGAAGTTTGGAGAAGGTGTATAGAACTTTATACCTCGAACTGAAAAATCTTCTAACTTTGACAATAAGATATCCCAAGCATCTAACATCTTCATGCCAACTTGTACGACTTTTATTTTCTTAAGTTTCTGTCTACATTCTTGTTCTGAAACTATTGTTGCTCTTGGTTTGTTAAAGACAACATCCCATTCTTTCATGACATAACATTCTGGGGCAGAGTCAACATAAATGACTAAACGTTTCAAATTCTCGACTGCTTTGTTATAGTCTCTAAATGGACACATATTTCTGAATGCTTGGAAGTCATAAAAATCTGAAACATCTATTCTGTACATTTTTATAAAAATAAAAAAAATAATATTTTTTATTCTTGACTTTGTTGTTGCATTTGTTGCATTTGTTGTTCTTGAGCTATTTGTTGTTGAAGTTGTTCTTGTAATACAATACTTTCACCAGTTGCATCTTCCAATTCGAAACTTTCTGCCGTCATTGACAAATACATAGGACATAAAAGTTTTACAGGAACAAAGTTTGCGTCAACTAATGTCAACGTTATACTTGCCAAAGTGTTTGAGTTCACTAAGGTTGAAAATTCTGCATTCGAATGAACAATAGGCAAACCAGCAGAGAAAGTATTGTTTATACGCATAAGTATCTTTTGGTCATAATAGTTTCTGTCGACATTCGAATAACACTTTGAACCTAAGTTTGAAACAATATATAAGATTGGTGTGCTTAATGTCAATGGAATAGACATTCCTTGTATGACACCTTTTCCTGTTATAGGAAACTGTTGGTAGTAAAAACCAGAAATAAGTTTTGTATTATAGCTCATATCGTTTATAGTAAAACTCAGTCGGACATCCAAACATAATGAAACCTGCTCTAGTTGCAGCACATGTTACACTCGTACGTAAAGTATTAAATAAGTCAACAAAACCTGTTGGTGGTATATCTGAGTAAGTATCTTCAAAGGAGGATTTTTTTACCATTCACAACAATAAAGTCTTCTGGTGTCAAAAGAGCAAAACAGGCTTTAGTCGTCATTGTGTTTTAAGGTTAGTTTACAATATCGTCCTTGAGGACTTTGTAAGTTTGTTGTTATAGAATTATATGACTCAGGGTTTTTAGTCGTAATAGTATAAAACCATTATGTCTTCTGCATTTATATATATTTAAAAGTTTTTCTGAAAGTGGAGAAGAACTTCATCTAAACTTTCACATGGCGTTTCTTGAAGTTCTCTGTCTAAGAAGTTCAAATATTTTGTAAAGACATAGAACTTTCCTTTGTCTACACGAACAAACAAAACAGGGTCTTTCATATCGTTCAAAAGTGTGTAAAGTCCTTTACATGAAATAAAGTCTATATTATTTTTCTTCAAACATCTTTCAAGAAGTTTTGACATTTTTACTTAGCAAATAAATTTTAATGAAATGTTGTGGTCGTCAAATATTTTTATAACGTCTGGGAAACTATATTTTAAGTTCAACGTTTCACCTCCTTTCATAACGTATATCTTGTCAATGGCATTATATGAAACACCACAGCAACTAATGTCGGGTTTCTATTTCTTTGATGTTTATATCGTCTGCCTCTGTCAAAAGTTTCAATAGTTCTTTCAAAACTTCATGAGGTGCAATGACATATGAGTTCACTTTTACAGGGTTGTGTTCGACCAAGTTTAACATTATACTTAAAGCTTGACAAATCTTCTCCTGAGTTTGAAGTTTGTCTTTCAGTTGTTGGTAGTCGTTTCGAATATCTGCAACAGAACTTAAGTCTCTGTTAACTTCAGGATATGTTGGTTCTTTTACAGGAACAATTGTTATACCATCTTCGTCTTCGTATGGTTTCCCCACTTCAACATCTCTGTTTTTGACATTGACAATAACACTTTGACTGTTTGTTTGAGTTGGTGAATTTAACTTCACATCTGCCACCGCATTAAACCTTTTGAAACACTTACGCTTCTATTTTTCGGAAAGACATTTTACTTAGAATAAAAAGATGGACGTATTCGGATATCTCTTCGAATTGAAGCAGAACAAAGTTTATACTCACAAACAATACAAATACATTGACAGAATAGTTCTTTACACAAACAATGGAAAATGTTATAGAATAGCAGTCTTTGCTGAACCTAAATATTTTCATAAAGCAAAAAAGTTGGTATAACTGAAATGGTGAAAGTTCTTGAAGCAGACAAAAATATAACTTCAAAACTGACCGATATTACTAAAGGAAAGTTTATAATACAATATTATGTCAAAACTGGGCGTACTGTCAATATTTGACGGAGAGAAGTCAGTTCAAGAACAACTTACTGACCTGCTGCCAAAATCTGCTCGATGGAAGCTGTCGTTATGCCAATCTGAGGAGCCCCAGCAGGTTTCATCGAACGAATCTTCAAAAGAGCATCTTCCGTGAAAAGTGCTATTGGTTTTGTAAACTTCTTTGCTTTCAATTCATCTGGACCGTCTCTGTCACCAGTATATTGTATTTGAACTGTACCAACAGTTGAAATACCACCCATAAAGTCTTCTGAGTCAGCAAATGGAATGCCAAGCCAAAAGTTTGAACGGTCTCCATTTGTATATTGAGTTTTTTGACCTCCTGTATGAGTCCATACTTTCACATATGGCATAATAGAACTTTGCATTTCAGGGTTAATGGTTGTTGTGAAGTTGTTGTTAAAGTTCATAGCATCTAATGTCAAGTTGTATGACCTCATATCCTCAACTGTAGAATATTCTTCTCTTGGATAATATTTGCCATCTATGTTTATATGATATTTAATACCAGGGTTGTAGAAACAAGAATAGTCATTTATAGTTCGTCTGAACAGTACAAACAGAGTATCTGCATGTTTCATTGCAGTTGTTAAAGCAATATCTGTTCTTGCACCTGGGTCAGCACTTTGGTTTCCAACTTCACCTGCAAAGTCTTTGACAGATATTTGGTGTATAGGGAACATAAGTGGAACTGCAATATATTTGGCAGCTAAAGCATTTGAAATATCTGGGTCCAACATATAGACTGCAAGTCTGCTTTCTATTCTCTTGCATTCAAATTTTTCGCATGTGAACTTAACTGGGTCCCAAGCAGTTCCAGCAGCATTGAAATAATAGTTTACTTCAGTGTTGAGGTTTGAAAACCAAAGTCTAAGTCAACTTTGTCTTTGCAAAAGTCGGCGAATGACGTTTTATTTGTTCCCGTTACGTCTGTAAGAGTGAATGGGTCTTGTGTTGGTGCAATGACTAAGTTATTTTTGCTTGGAGTAAGTTCGATAGAAATTTTTCCTGCCCAGTTTGGCAAGTATCTTAAAAACCTGAAGATGAGGAAAGATGACAAAGGAACTCTAAGTTTCAGTTTTACTTTAGTGGCAGCAGTTCCATCTGAACCAGAAAGGTTAACATAAACTCCTGGAACGTTAGGGTCAAGTCTTCTTATTTTCTCAATAGTTGCATACTGGTCTGTTTGTTCTCTCGCTTGTGGTTGTACTGAGTTTCTCAAAGCGAACCATTCATAGTTTGCCCATGTTACTGTTTGAACTAAGTCAGAGTTAGAATATATCTTATATCCCATGAAAACTTCTGGAGCATATTGGTATCCGACATAGAAAAATTCCATTGCAACCTTTCTTGTCAGACAACTTGGCAGAAGGTTTTATTTCAATGTCTTGTTCCACGTATAAGAATGAGTTGTCAATAGAAATAATATGAAACCTGTCGCAAGCAATATCTACTGTTGTTGAAGAACCTTCTCCAAACTCACCTACGTTTCCATAAGAAACAGCAGTTGTATATTCGTAAGTTCCAGGAACTATTTCTGACCTTCTAATGGCATTGTCGCATTCGTTATACCATTCGGAAACATTTCCGTTCATGGCATCCAAAACTGTTGGCGTTATATTCTGAGCGGCGTACATTTCATATGGGAAAAATATAGAATAGTTGGATTTATATATCATAATAGAACCCACTCGTACCAAGCTTTACTTTCTTCCTGACTGAGTTTTGTTGCATCTTTGCCTCATGTTCACCTAGTATGTTGTAAATTTCCCATGTCCTTTTTGCCTTTGGGCTCTGGTCGCCCATCTCAGGTAACCTATATCCTAGAAAGATTTTGTCATAGTTTGTATTTGAGTCTTCGCGTATTGTTTGCATGACTCTTTCCTGAGTTTCCGGTTCAAGCTCTTCAAACAGAGCTTGTCCATATGGAATATGCTCGTTTCCAAATATATGTTTTTGTAGCCATTCTGGTTTTCTTTCCATGTTACCAATAATATCTTTTGTGAATGGGAAAGCTTTTACCCACTGTTTCAGTCTTGCGTCATTTATTTCTGTAGTTGGTTTTTTGTCAAGGAACATGTTTTTCAATACTAACATTTCATTTGGTACTGTCCATTTGAGTTTTCTTAAATATTCATCCCTTCTCGGTTCATTGTCTGCAAAGTAAGTTTTTATGACATTTTGCAAACTTTCGTTTGCAAGGTCATGTACAATAGGTTCTCTTCCTTCTCTATCCCTAACTCTCTTTCTAAACTCTTCACCAAATATACCATCTCTATGGTTCTGTGTAGTTCTTTGAGATAAATGTTCTAGAACGTCAGGTGTTATATTTCCATCAGCCATGTTCATTTCATACTGGTCCAAAATATCTGCATCTTTCATATCTTTCAATGGCATTAAAGCCGCGCTGAAAATACCAGCTATATCTGGTTCACCATTCACTTCCATTGCGTCTACAACTTCTTGGAATTGTGGTTGTAAGTTTATGAACCACCTATCCGGATTAGCTTTATGACCCCATCTCATTGTAGTTCCATAGTCTGCAGAAACAAAAGTAGGTTTGTTTCCATATTGGTTAGGTTCTGAATGAACTTTAAACAATGTTTCATTTCTATATGTTTTGTTGAAATTTAACCTTTTATTTTCACCGAGTTCATCCAAAGATTGAACGTTATATGCTCGTAAGTAAAAAGGATTGTTGTATTTGTGTACATTATCTTTCAGTACTTCCATTCTATGCTGGATATTTTCATCTGATGTTGGAGTCTTTTGTATGTCGGCGAACATTTTTCGATATTCTTCTACTATGTCAGCCGAATTTTTCTTAGACTCTTGGAAAGATTCCATATTCTCCGCATACACTTGTTGAGGGTCAAGATTTTTCGGCTGTTCCAAATCTTCATCTAGTTCTGTGAAGTTAGTTTCCAAAGGAGGGACTTGTTCGTTTCCTTCAGGCTCTTCTAGCTGTTGTTGCTGAACTATTTCTTCCATGTCTGGTTGTATCTGAACTTCTTCCTGTGGAGTTTCTTGTACCTCATCTGCTGGCATTTCATATATTCCGAGACCGTTTTCAACAAGTTCCCTATCTAAGTCATCCGGACTCATAAACCTTTCTTCTTTCGTTCCGTCTCTATTTTTTACGCGTTTCATGAAGAGAGTTGAATTATCATTTAGCTCTGACATCAAATATCTCGGAGTAAATTCATTCATGTCAGTTGGATGATATGCTATTAAATCATATCCCTTAGCGAGTTTGTATTTTCCAGGTTTGAAATTATATCCCATTTGGTGCTGAACCATAAAGCTAAATAGGTTCGGGTCAGTATTTCCTTCCTTGAACTTTCTAATAGCTTCTTTATATCTGTCACTAAAGTCAAGAGTATCTGGGTAACCATAATCTTTCTTAAGCATTTTTAAGAATTCTTGGTTTCCTTGTTCTCTACTTCTTTTATGTCCTTGCTCTGTTTGTGGTTGTTGTTGTGCAGGGTTTTGAACTGTTGGTTGTTGTGCTGGTTGTGGAGGTGGTTGTTGTGCTGGTTTTGGTTGTGGTGCTGGGTTTTGAACTGTTGGTTGCTGTGCTGGATTTTGAACTGTTGGTTTTGGTTGTTGTTGTGGTGCTCGATTTTGAACTGTTGGTTTTGGTTGTTGTTGTGGTGCTGGATTTTGAACTGTTGGTTGTTGTGTTGGTTTTGGTGCATGCCTGTGTCTGTGTCCATGTGACGATGTAAATGTTTTAGGTAGTCCTGGTGCAGGTGCTTCTCTTGGAGGGTTTGGTGGTATATAAGTTCCACTAGCTAGTATATAAGTTCCACCAGCTGGTATATAAGTTCCACCAGCTGGCACATATGTTCCATCTGCAGCATAATGTCCTACCTGACTTTTCGTTTTTAAGAAAGCATTTACTAGGTCTGTTTTGGTCTGTTGTAACTCTTTTTCTTGACTTTCCACAACAGTTGCTCTAACGGCGTCATAGGCACTTTGAACTGCCTGTCTCGTTGCTGCATCTGTTATTTTCGTCATATTTTGTGCTACTTCTCTTAACTCTTTGTCGAAACCTTCAGACTTCAGTTTCTTTCCAGATGAGAAGTCGTTCACTAGTTTCACCTTACTATGAAGAGCTTCGAAGGCATTCTTAAAGTCAGCATTCATTAAAGCTTCATTTGAACTGTCTTCATCCGCTTGTATTTTTGTCCTTATTGACCCTATAAGTTGGGCTGCTTTAGCGTTGGCTTGGGCATCTAACCAGTCATTATTAGCTTTTATATATTCTGCGCTTTTCATTGCCTTTTGCATGGCTGCGTCGTTATTTTTACTTTCTTGTGCTAAGTTTTCATACTGTACGGTTTGGTTTTGCAACTGTAAAAGTTTTTCTGCCTTTACATTTGCTTCAACTTCTTTTTTATACTCATCGCTATCCATATATGTCTTCAGGGCTTTTTGTTTTATTTCTTCATCTTTCAGTACTTTATATTGAGTAGTATGGTTTTTCAAATTTATAACATCTTGTTCCATTTTTGCTACTTCTGCTGCTTTTTCTGACACTTTTTTCGCATATTCCTCTGTACTTAGTTCTTTCAGTTGTTCTTCTTTCTTCTTTTTCTCTACGTTTAACTCATTGAGTTTCTTTGTGTGTCTGTCATATTCTAGTTTCTTTTCGTTTTCACTTATTTGTTTCTGTATGTCTATGTTTGACTTTTTGACATCTGTTATTTGATTTTTGAGTGAACTCAAATTCATTTGACTTTGAGGGTTATAAGCTGTTCCGTCTGCAGCTCCACCATAGCCTGCCATTTTCGCTAAAAGTGCCGCTCTTAAACCTCCACTCTGTGCACCAATAACTCGGTTTAAAAGCATAGGGTTGCTTGACATTTGTTGCAACATAGTGGGGTCATTCATCATTTGTTGTTGCAACTGTTGTTGTGGTGTCAGTTTTACTATTGGATGTTTCAATGCTCCCTTCCTCTTACGTATATTCTTACGTAGCTTACGTGGCATTTTAAGTGAAGTAAAAAACGGTTTTTGACAGATGTTTATATGACACTTTTTGTTCAGCACAAAAAACTACTCGGTCAAAGTGTTGTCACCGGCTGGTCGGCTGGGGTTCGGTCCTCCTCTTGGGTCTTGGGCAAAATTCTTAGGGCTAGAAGGGGCGCAGCCCCTGGAAGCCCTCCGAATATAAACTTCATTTATACTAAACATCTTCAGGGCTAGAAGGGGCGCAGCCCCTGGAAGCCCCACTACCTTTTTTTTTTATAGAAAAGGGTAATTTTTCTTACAGAAATAACAAGACTGCAATGCTATCACATTTAAGTTTTTTAGATTTGGAGTTAGGTAAATTGATATAATGCAGAAGTATGTAATGACTATTCGATTTTTAATGAAATGTCATAAAATAATTATTATATTAATTGTGATTTCTGCATCGGCGCAACGCGCCTTTTAGAATTCTGGGCACGTAATTGCCCAGAATGCAAGCTTGAGAAAATTGAAACTTAGTTACTAAGTTTCTGCCTTGCTTTTATACAAAAAGATTTTTTTGGGCCACCTTTTTTTGGGGAACTGAGGGAAACTGAGGGAAACTGAGCACTTTTTCTCTGTGAATATTAGATTTTTTATTAATATGTTTAAACAAATATTATCTATTACTATATTTTAGATTATTGTTTAAATAAAATTTAAATTATAATAAATATTCGCAGAGTTTTGATGAAAATATTGTGTCACTTTTGCAAAAATTGAGAGCCCTTTTGGGCAACTGAGAGACGATTATTTTTGATCAATCAATCTCAATATCTCAATATCTGTTAGTTATTAACTAAAAGTAGTTGAACATTTGATATCAATTATTATTGTTATCAGATATTATTATCCATTTATAGTTAAATCACGCAATTTTTATCTAGTTTTAAATAATTTAACGATAATATTTTGGATTTGGAAGCTAGATTTGTAATATATCCATGTATACTGTACCCTTTACAAGAATAGTGTACAATTTTTAACTAAATTGAAATTTTTGAAAAAGAATCTTATTATTTGGAAAAAATATTGTGCTTTTGAATGAATTTGAAAATATAATAATACAAAAAGATAATATAAAACATATAGAAAAGGGTTGAATGTATATTTTGATGTATTGAATGTGTTATTTTCAGTTGCCCTCAGTTTCCCGAAAATTTTAGGAAAAAGAGCGATAGTTCCCTCAGTTTCCCGACGATTATTGTAAACATTGTTCAGTTTCCTCAGTTGCCTGACGATTATTTTAACTATGATTTCCTTAGTTTCCCGAAATGACGATAGTTGTAAACTTCACTCAGTTTCCTCAGTTGCCCGACGATTATTTTAACTATGATTTCCTTAGTTTCCCGAAATGACGATAGTTGTAAACTTCACTCAGTTTCCTCAGTTGCCCGACGATTATTTTAACTATGATTTCCTTAGTTTCCCGAAATGACGATAGTTGTAAACTTCACTCAGTTTCCTCAGTTGCCCGATGATTATTTTAAACTTTATTTCATCTGACTTTTTTCATTTACTTTATTATCTTAATATTCTTCATACATTATCTTCTATATTTATCAATTTCTATTAAATATTTCAATTATACAATTTTTGACTAAGTTATTCTTTTATACTATTATAATTTGAATTATCACCAATCACTTAATTAGATATCTTTATTTAAATACATAATATCTAAAATTGATAGTAGAGATGCGAGTTTCCGAATTTTTTTAGCCCTGGGATGTCATAACCGCTGCGGTTTTGTAAAATTTGGGATAAATTTTGACAATCCATTTTTTGTGGGATGTACGTTTATATCAATTTGCTCGGCGTTTGCCGAGCTATTGTACAATCCTACTCGAATTCATTACGCAGCCCTGGTCACTCAAAGGCCGGGGCATACAATTACAAAATAGTAGAGTGAGACTCTTCTAATTTCTTCCAATCACAAGGAAGATCTTAGAAGAGCCTCACTCTACTCGAACACATTACGCAGCCCTGGTCACTCAAAGGCCGGGGCATACAATTACAAAATAGTAGAGTGAGACTCTTCTAATTTCTTCCAATCACAAGGAAGATCTTAGAAGAGCCTCACTCTACTCGAACACATTACGCAGCCCTGGTCACTCAAAGGCCAGGGCATACAATTACAAAATAGTAGAGTGAGACTCTTCTAATTTCTTCCAATCACAAGGAAGATCTTAGAAGAGCCTCACTCTACTCGAACACATTACGCAGCCCTGGTCACTCAAAGGCCGGGGCATACAATTACAAAATAGTAGAGTGAGACTCTTCTAATTTCTTCCAATCACAAGGAAGATCTTAGAAGAGCCTCACTCTGCTCGAACACATTACGCAGCTCCTGCTCAACAATGAGCAGGTCTTACCACTTTGAGAGGCTTTCGCTCGAGTTCTGATGCAGATCCCAACGCGAGCGAGAGTCTCTCAAGCAAGCTTCTAATTCGTAGCTAGAGTTTCACTCTTATGAACAGGCAGCCAATTTGAGAGACTTTCGCTCGAGATCTAATGAAAAATCAGAACTCGGCCAAAAATTGCCCAAACAGGCTTGTAATTCGTAGCTATAGTATTGATCGTATGGATGTGTAGCCAATCTGAGAGACTTTCGCTCGATGTCTGATATTGCATCAGACATCGAGCGAAAGTCACTCAAAACAGCTTAGACATGTCTATTTTGACGGCATTAAATGATTTCATAGGAAATGTCTCAGTTGTTAATTAAGTTCACGTGAGCTTTTATGAATGAAAATAAGTAAAAAAAAAGAATTTTCTCAAAAAAAATTGTGTACGCATTGAAATTTTTATCTATAAATTTAGATATGTCATCAATAATATAATATAATTTTAAATTCGTGGAGTACACTTGGGATAATTGAATATGGGCTACCCCATCCCAACCTCTCAAACTTCCTCTGAATTTGGACAAGGTATCCCAATCCCAAAGACCTATCTGAATAAAATGAAATAAGTATATTATATATATTATTTATTTGCTAATAATGAGCATAAATCGCTAAAATTATGAAGAAATTAAAAATTAAAAATTAAAATTAGAAAAAAATGTTGATTTAATGAGAGAATATTGTATAAAAATAGAATTATTAGCTAAAATACGTATTAATTTTATGATATTTCAATCACATTAACGAAAATCGCCCATTTTTAATTCAAATGGGCGGGAAAAAAAATAAAATTCCAAAAAAAATTGAATTGGGGAAACGATAGGGGACGGGATATGAGAAACCCCATATGTTTGGGAATTTTTCGCATCACTATTGATAGTGATTTTTCAAAAGAAAAAATTTCTCTGTAAAGAAAAAGTAAAAAAATTAATGGATTTTAAAATTTTTGCTAACAAACTAGAATTGTCAAGAGTATATATCGACGTTTCAAATCAATATTTATAAACACTTATATTTATTAAAAGAATTTCATAGAAATCTGTTTAATTTATTGCATAATTTAACAAGAATAAGAATTTATGAAATCCAATAAGTTAATTAATATCAAAATTTTATGATTTAGGAAAGTAGATTATATATATTGAAATAATAGAGGAGCAATAGGATTAAGAAAAAAATTAAGAAAATAAAAATGTATTGATAACTATCGTCATTTCGGGAAACTAAGGAAATCATAGTTAAAATAATCGTCGGGCAACTGAGGAAACTGAGTGAAGTTTACAACTATCGTCATTTCGGGAAACTAAGGAAATCATAGTTAAAATAATCGTCGGGAAACTGAGGGAACTATCGCTCTTTTTCCTAAAATTTTCGGGAAACTGAGGCCAACTGATAATAACTTTATATCTATTTGCAACTCAATCAACATTCACATAAAAATTACAAGTTTTATTTCATCCCCACATCATAATAATGTTTGTTTCTTAATATCTTAAAAAATTTCAAAATCTTATATTTTGAATAATTAGCATTTATCGTAGATTTCTGTTTAAACATAATTATCAATCATGATTTCAATCAAATTTTTTTGCTATGATATTCTTTATCTTGGGAATTCGAAATCGAGCTTGTTTCATTTCTTATCTACTCAAATATTAGAGTTATTCTAAAATCTAATATTAAATATATAGTTATAAGTGCTATTATATACTAATATCAAATTAGAATTTAAATATCAAGAAAAAATAGAGTAAATAATCGTCTCTCAGTTGCCCAAAAGGGCTCTCAATTTTTGCAAAAGTGACACAATTTTTTCATCAAAACTCTGCGAATATTTATTATAATTTAAATTTTATTTAAACAATAATCTAAAATATAGTAATAGATAATATTTGTTTAAACATATTAATAAAAAATCTAATATTCACAGAGAAAAAGTGCTCAGTTTCCCTCAGTTTCCCTCAGTTCCCCAAAAAAAAGATCTCCGTTTTTGGGCCACCTTTTTTACTTTTTCTTTACATTTTGAGGTTTATCCTTCGCTTTTAAGATCATTGAATTTGATTTTTATATAAAATAGTTATATATTAGAAAATAATATAAGTTTATGTGATATTATTTTTCAGAAGATTTCATTCTATATGCCTATGAAAAGTACTCTCAAAACTAACTTTTCCTAATTATAATTAAATCTAGAATATTGTATTATGCTTAGTATTATTTCATTTTTCTCATTCAATTTAGAATTTACAAATGTCAAAAAATTGAGAGCTGTCACTTTTGATGAATTTCTGTTTATTACAATATATTTAGAATAATTACATATAACTTAGTACCTTTAAAATAAAGTGGCACTTTTTACTTCCTCGACGATAAAAATTGAGAGCCAAATAATCGTTGACAGATCTTACTATGCAACACTTTTGACGAATTTTTGAATATAACAATACTCGTGATCACCGTTTACAGATTGTTTCAATTGCGATTTCCATTCTCAAAATTATTAAGTTCAAGGATTATGCAGAAAATGCTCATGGAATTGATTCGAATCTCACAATTTTGTCCCGTTGGCTT